TGGAAATGGAGGGTATCTGTTAACCACTTAACTAAGAACAAAACAACAACATTCAAGCCTTAATCCCAAAAGATTTTGGGGTCGGCTAACATGAATCGGACCATGAAAACAGTGCCAAAAAGAGAAGACACACAAGAAGGAAAAAAGAAAAAGAAAAAAAGTAAGATAAAACAGATAAGTCGATAAGATAAAGATAAATACTCCCTCTGTCCCTAAATTTACTTCCATTTCGCTTTTCGAGAGTCAACTTAAATCACTCTTAAACTCTTACTTTTTGTATCAAAAATTTATGAAAATTGATTTTTTTTTGCAGGCTTTGTAGCGGGTTTAATGTAGTTTCTGAATATGTAAATTTTATTTACTAAAAATAATCCGAGTTTCCACAGGGATCATTTAACTTTATCGTCGGTCAACCTTCGTAATCCGCAATTGGAACAACATTCAGGGACGGAGGGAGTATAAGATAACAATAACCTGAGAACATAAGAAAGATAAAAAACAAAAAGATAAAAGAACATAAACAAGCTTGAAGATAAAAATAACATAAGAATATAAAAAGATAAAGAAGATAAACGATAAAACAAAAGGATAGAGGAAAGATAGAAAAGGGATCAATCGTCCAAATGAATGTGCGTCCTCCATTTTGCTCTCTCCAAAGCCATAATCTCGTCCAACTCAAGAAGACGCATATAAGTTCTAATTCCTCTAATCCAAGTCTGTTTGGGTCTTTATCTCCATCTCCTCCCCGCCTCTTCTCCCCACCTCTCAAGTCGTCTAACAAGTGCATCACTCGGTCTTCTAGCACATGACCAAACCACCACAAACGAGACTCCTGCATCTTATCTTCTATATTTGCTACTCCCACCTTTTGTGTGATTATCTCATTCCTCAAGCGATCTTTTATGGTATGATACCATGTGGAAATATTTACTACCTAAATCCCCCAAAAGAAGGACGTCCCATTTAACCACAATAAACTGTTATAGTTTTTGTGAGATACAATTATGAGAAATAAACGATTTTAATTATAAATTCAACGTTATATGTTGGATAATCTAAATTAAAAAAATTAAAAGACCTGTAACATTTTGTGGAAAAAAACTTGAAATATAATGAAACATAGATTCTTTTGTTCAAACAGGACTATCTTTCTTTGAGACACTTAAAGTTTTTAAGTAAGACTCTTTTTTGGGACAGATGGATGTATATGCCTATCTTTGCAGATGGAAGGAATGAGTGCATCTTACAACACCTAAGCTACTCTCTCTGAAGCACAATACTATAAGGATGGAGTAATGCCCTAGGCACTGGGGGAACAAAAAATAACTACCCCCTCCACGAGTACCTTCTTGTGGTGCAGACTTTGATGATGACTCTCCACTTCCACTGGAGGATTCCTGCAACCATGGCAGAAAAAATAAATGTATCACACTAAATTAATCTGATGGTGAGTTGGGAATGAGGAAAATGAAGCTTAGGCTAGTGCAAGTAGACAAAAAGTGTGTGTGTGCTAGGTCACCAACATACATCTGCATCAACCATCTTGACATCATTATCTTTTGAACTCGAGCCCTCCCCACTAGCTTTTAAACCAAATTTCTTACCCTCCTCGTCTCTTAAAGCCTGTTTGAAGATGAGAATCACCAATTGAGAGAGAAAAAGTACAAGGAAAAGCATAGACACCTATCAAAAAGTAAAAGTGCACACCTTACGAGGAACTTCCAATCTCTTACGCAAATCATCTGAACACAAGTCAAAGACATCCAATTCCAACGGATAATCTACTTTCTGAATTTAAAACATTGTTTAGTACTAGACTCCATAAATCATTAATACTAACCAGAGAAAATCAATCAGAATGTAACATACTAACACGAATACAAACAATAGAACCCTAAAAATGACACTCAATAACGCAATGTAAAAAATTAGAGTGTATGCAGCACATGCATCTTTTTATGTATACAGTATAGATGCTCTAGTTTTTAGTACTAGTAGAAATTTTGTGTGAGGACATACTATGATACTAGGATCCTCTTGTCGCAATATCAGAATTTGAACATGAAATATACTGGCTCTCCCTTATTCCCATAACTTTCTCAAAGTTCGCCAGACTAGAAAAATGATTTATTCTGCCTGTTAGAGTGACGTGGGGTACACAGCCCCCTAAATTATTCCACCCACACAACGCAAAATATGAATCTTTCCTTTTCATGAGCAAAGCATTTTAATAGACACCTATCCCTTAACCCCCGTGCTTTCCATATTTAGTGAAAACCAATTAACAAAGGAAACATCTTAATAAATGCCATGTGTGAAGAATTAACAAAATATTACCCGTAAAATCTTTGCTTTTTGATTTGATTCCCTTTTCCAGAAAAATCGAACAAACTGAATGGTCAAGTATCTGCCAATCAAAATATAGAATCATCCCAATACAAGTAACATCATTAATCAGCAAAGCAAGTGTGAATTAAGAAGAAAAATAGAACTTTTGGCTAGGAACATCCATTCCAGATACATATGGATAGACCGCTAGAAAAGCTTGAAAACAAAATAAAAAAAGGGAATATTGATGATTGGCTGATGGCAGCACCAATATAAGAGAAGATGCTAATAGAACTATTCCACACCTTGGCAAACCATTGATTCGAGAATCTTTGAGGTAAAGTGCACTACGACCTAAAGTTGGAGAAGCTTTCTCCAGTTCTGATTTCAGGCCCTGGGAATATAAAAAAGTAGGCTGTTGTCTTGATGCAAAGATAAAAACTATCCAAAATGTGAAGAAAAGTTCACAACATAGACATGTTAGTGTGTAGAATTAAGCTTACGTGTTTTAATCCCTCATGCAAATGGTTCACCTCCTGTGAGATGTGGCATTTAAGGGAGTAAACTGATTCAGTCTCTGAACTTTCTTCACCACTTTCTGCACAGTGAACCCTAACACATATCATCAACGAAAATGAAAACGAACATAGAGGTTAGCAAAATACTTTTGATCAACACAAATCTATCAAACAGTTAACAGTCATAAAGAGATGCACAACATAGCAAATGAATTTCAAAAATTAATCTCTAGTTTGACCTCAATAAGATACAGATACAGAAGTGACGATTAACAGCAGAATAGCATTATTTATGCTGTGCCAATTTTTTAAGTCAAAAATGCCAAAGAATAAAAATTCAGCCAAGAAGTTTTGATTATAAATAGACAGTAGACACAATGGATCATTGCAGTGGCTAACCTAAAGAGTAATTATCACTAGACCAGGGAAAGAGTGGGGATAATAACTCTCATACCCTTGGAATGACATTGAATTATGCTAGAAAGTATAACTCACAACTTCATTTTTTCCTATTTATAAGTCAAAGAGAACAAATAGATAAGGTTGGAGAAATACCTACTGACAAGATCAATGCCAAAAATGTCTTTCACTGTATCGGAAGTATCACTGCAAACGTACACGACAAAGCATGACTGGAATTGCATTCAAAGGAGAATTTATCAACTATACTTTCAGAAAAATTGAACAAAATGGAAGTAGCACACATTTATAGAAACCTAAAACAAAGTAACGTAAACTGTAACAAGCATAAAAGAAAGAAAACAAAAAGGTACTGGCAAAGAAAAACGGGAAAACAAAGTACCATACACATGCTAATCGCTTAGAATATACATCAATTAACATTTTGAAGCATGCTAAACGGAGACTTCTTACCTGGATCCCGAAGTTTTAAGAGACTGGGAGAGGGTGTAGAGAATTTGTGTCCAACACTCTTCTGCATCCTGTTATCATTTGCAATGTGTCAATCACAATGTTAAAACGGGGAAAGTCATATATTAGGACTAAAGGACTCTTGGCCACCTGCTGCATGAAGACACCATTGCTGAGCTGGCCAAACTGAGGATATTTCTTACGTAATACCTGTCAACATGACAAAATCCTGTATATAATTATCGTTTGTTAAATGCAAAATTGAAAATCATTATTCCATCATTCCAGTTAGGTACCAATCAATCAATCACAATGCAGAGGAATTGAGGGTACCATTTCAGCTTAGGCATTTTATCACACTGTTCACACTACCTTTCATCTTTGAATGTTGTTAGCCGACCCCAAAATCTTTTGGAATTACGGCTTGGATGTTGTTGTTGTTTGTTTGTCTTCAAAATATTCAAAAAATCAAGATTTCTCAACTTTTTAACATATTCCTAAAATTTTCCAGATACATTTAGACCATACTTCTTAGTGGGTATACAGCATACTAATGCCTTGTTTCATAAATGTCATATCAGCCAATTTTGGCTGGTTTGACCACTTTTAGCTGACTTTAAGTAATCAAACTGCAAATATATGTGTGTGGTTAAAAAATGGTGGTTCAGTTGATTGCCCTCCACTCTCCAGTCTTCACCAAACAATTTCGTAAACACCTCACAATAGTCAATAGCAGCCTTTTCTCCTTTCCTGATAAGAACATTATTCCCATTCCAATACTGCCCTTCACTCAACTGGTTTCTTTTTTCATTCTATTCAATTAAGTACTCCATGCTCAATTTAGATAATAGTACAACAATCAAATTTTTCTCAAAACGACTCAACTATACTACATTATGCTTTATTATTTGTGTTAGAAGTATTATTATATATATACGCACACCTATTGTAATAAATATATACCCTCAGCTGATATAGTCAGGTTGTTAGATCTGATAGTAAGTTTGTTAGAGTCGGTTATATCAGCTGTAGTATATATACATGTACCGATTCATCTTAATTAACACGAGAGAAATTCTTCCTCCTTTCTATCTCTGCTTACTTTCTAATATGGTATCAGAGCTTCAGATCTAGGCTCGGTCTACCATGCCGGAATCTGACTCTACTTCATCTTCAACCTCTGTTACTGGAAATGTCTCCTTTCCAGTAGCATTTTCACATCCTTTACCAATCAAACTAGATTCAAACAACTATCTCCTTTGGAAACATCACATCACGTCTGTAGTTCGTGCGCACAAGCTGTTGAAATTCATAGAGAATCCTCAAATTCCAGAGGAATTCATCGCTGCTGCAGACGGAACTAAATCTGTGAACGATGCGTATATCACTTGGGAACAGCAGGATCAGATGCTGTTCTCATGGATGTTGTCGTCTTTGTCGGAGACACTTCATGCTCGTGTGATTCATTGCCTGAAGTCGCATGAGCTCTGGAGCACGATTAAGGAGTTTTTCAAAGCAAATGTTATCGCAAGGGCCAGACAACTAAAATCCGAACTCTACAATACTGGAAAAGGGGAGCGATCGATTTCTGAGTATCTTATAAACATTCAGACTATCGTTAACAATCTTCGTCTGGTTGGTGAACCGTTGTCTAGCAAAGAGCATATTAATGTTATCCTCGAAGGTCTTCCAGAAGACTACGAATCGTTGGTATCATCTGTAACCTCTCGTAGTACTCTCGAGCCTGTTTCATTGACTGAACTTGAATCCTTGCTGCTAGCAAAGGAGATGCGTCTGAAGAAATTTCATGAATCAACAAAACAAAGTGTGTTCTCAGCTCACGTCGCTCAGGTTGAAACCTCTTCCACAACTGAAACATCTGTAGCTACTGATAATCCCTCCGCGAATATTGCTCAGTTCAGTAACTCAAACAACAATGTCTCTCAACGTGGACGAGGCCGTGGAGGTTTCACTAGAGGCAGAGGTGGCCGCTCTGGTGGTCGTAGCTCTGTAATCTGCCAGGTCTGTGGAAAAAGTGGCCATCATGCTTTGATTTGTTATCACAGGTATAATCCTACCTATACTGTCTCAAACTCTAATTTCACAAATTCTACACCTGAGAATCCTGGAGGAGCAAATTACTGGAATCCACATTCACAAGCTTCTTACTATCAAATACCTCCCCAACCTAAACCACATACCTCTCACATATTTTCTGCTCCATGGAATCATCAGCCCTTTAATTCACCTTCTCCAACTTTTAATTGGGGACATCAACAATCCTCTGCACCATCTGCAAACTTTGCTACCACAACTGCATCTATACTTGGGCCTGTTCCACAAAATCAAACCTGGTTTCCTGATTCAGGAGCAACACATCATGTTACTGCAGATCCACTAAACTTCCAGCATTGTGAGCCTATTGCAACAACTGACAAGCTCTTTATGGGCAATGGTCAAGGTTTGGACATCAAGTCTGTTGGTTTTTCCTCCTTTCCCTCACCTTATCACTCCTCACAATCACTCTTATTACATAATATACTTCATGTTCCTTCCATAACTAAAAATTTACTGAGTGTTAGTCAGTTTGCCAAAGACAATAATGCCTATTTTGAGTTTTATCCTCATCACTGTTATGTCAAATCTCAGGTTTCTAAACAGGTTTTGTTGCATGGAATACTTGGTGAAGATGGCTTGTACAAGTTTCCATGTATTCCTCTTGGTTCCAGTTCAACTGCTGCTGTCACTTCACAAGCTTATTCAGTGTCTAGAAATAATTCTATGTCTCCTTTTTCACTTTTGTCAGCCTGTAATAAATCTCAATCATGTAATCTCTCAGATTCATGTAATGTTTGGCATCTCAGATTAGGTCATCCTCATCCTGAGGCACTTAAATCTGTACTTCAACTTTGTAATGTTTCTGTCAGTAATAAGAATAATCTTCAGTTTTGTTCTGCCTGTTGCCTTGGTAAGGCACATAGACTCCCTGCATATTCTTCCAACACTGTTTATCACAAACCATTTGAACTAATATTCACTGACCTATGGGGCCCAGCACCTGTTATATCCTTTGATGGTTACACATACTATATTGCCTTTATTGATGCTCACACAAGATATACCTGGATATATTTTCTGAAAAACAAATCTGATGCCCTTCCAGCATTCCAAAACTTTTACAACCTTGTCCTCAATCAATTCTCCACATCCATCAAATCTCTCCAATCTGACTGGGGAGGAGAATTTAGATCCTTCACCAATTTTCTGTCTCAAAAAGGGATCACCCACAGAATCATATGTCCACACACACACCATCAAAATGGTGTGGTAGAACGAAAACATCGCACAATTGTTGAAAAAGGACTGTCACTTCTTGCCCATTCTTCATTGCCTTTTAAGTTTTGGGATGCTGCTTTTGCAACTTCAGTACATCTCATAAATAGAACCCCTTCCAAATCAATATCCAATTCTAGCCCATATTTCCAGCTTTTTGGTTCTGTACCAGACTATTCCTTCCTCAGAGTCTTTGGCTGCTCCTGTTATCCTTTTTTGCGACCCTACAACAAGCATAAAATGGATTTCCACTCTGAAGAGTGTATTTTCATAGGGTACTCTTCACAACACAAAGGCTACAAGTGTCTTTCCAAATCTGGGAGAATATACATTTCAAAAGATGTCACATTTCATGAATCAAAATTCCCTTATCCAACCTTATTCCCCTCCAACCAGCCCACCAACATAAAAGTCTCTACACCAAATTCTGCAATCCTCACCATCTTACATCCACATTCATCCAATTCTCAACCAGATACCTCCCAACCGAATACCTCCCATAGCCATGTCTACTCACCACCTACAAATAACATCTCAACCCACTCTAACACTGACTCTACACCTACCAATAATTCTGATCCATCCTCTGTTCCTTCCATATCTGCCATACCTTCTCAACAAGACCACATATCCTCCTCTACTTCCACCTCTTCCTCTTCCACACCTCATCAGTTGACTAACACTCATCCCATGCAAACCAGAGCCAAATCAGGAATTATCAAACCAAGACTTAATCCTACCTTACTATTAGCACATATTGAGCCCAAGTCAGTGAAGCAAGCTCTCTCATCTCCCCAGTGGTTCTCTGCAATGCAGGATGAATACAATGCCCTTATAGCTAATGGTACTTGGTCATTGGTTCCCTTACCACCAGACAAACATGCCATTGGTTGTAAATGGGTCTTCAGAGTGAAAGAAAATTCTGATGGATCTCTTAATAAATTCAAAGCCAGGCTGGTTGCTAAAGGTTTCCATCAGAGGTTTGGATTTGATTTTACTGAAACCTTCTCACCTGTTGTTAAGCCAGTCACTATTAGAGTTCTACTCACACTGGCAGTTTCTCACAAATGGACTGTTCAGCAATTAGATGTCAATAATGCCTTCCTCAATGGGACACTTGATGAAGAAGTCTACATGGTTCAGCCTCCAGGTTTTCAGGCACAGGACCCATCTCTTGTCTGCAAACTCCACAAGTCATTATATGGCCTAAAACAGGCTCCAAGGGCATGGTTTCACAAACTCACTTCTGTTCTTTATACAGCTGGTTTTCAACAGAGCAAATGTGATCCTTCCCTCTTGTTTTTCATGTCCCCAGGAATTCAGATCTATATCCTCATATATGTAGATGACATTCTTGTTATAGGAAATGATTCCTATGCTATTCAAAATCTCATCCAGAAATTGCATTCATCTTTCTCTCTCAAGCACCTAGGAGACATTGATTTTTTCCTTGGTATTGAAGTAAGGAAATTAGGTGATGGCAGCTTGCATCTATCCCAGACAAAGTATGTGAGAGATCTACTGTATCAGACTGGCATGTTAGATTCAAAAGGAGTTAAAACTCCCATGATTAGTAGCTGCAAACTTACAAATACTGGTAGTCCATGTCTACCAGACCCATCTACTTACAGATCTGTTGTTGGCACTCTGCAATATGCCACTCTAACAAGACCAGAAATTAGCTATGCTGTTAACAAGGTTTGTCAGTTCATGGCAGCACCTTTACAAGAACACTGGAAGGCAGTTAAACACATTCTCAGATATCTATCAGGAACTATCACACATGGCATCATCATTAAACCTCTTCCTTTGAACACCATGGCTCTACCTATTTCAGCCTACTGTGATGCTGACTGGGCATCTGATCCTGTTGACAGAAGGTCCACATCTGGTTCATGCATCTTTTTTGGATCTAACATCATCTCATGGTGGTCAAAGAAGCAACAAAAGGTAGCCAGATCCTCAGCAGAAGCTGAGTACAGAAGTCTAGCAGACACAGCTGCAGAGGTCTTGTGGGTTCAATCTCTACTTCAAGAGCTTCAAGTACCATTTTCTACCTCAAAGGTCTACTGTGACAACCTCAGCACTGTACAGCTTGCTCACAACCCTGTTTTACACTCCAGGATCAAGCACATGGAAATAGATCTTTTCTTTGTGAGAGAGAAAGTCCAATCTAAGCAGATTGAAGTTCTTCATATCCCAGCTCCTTACCAAGTTGCTGATATTCTGACAAAACCCCTGTCTGCATCATCTTTCCTTGACTTGAAGACCAAACTTAGTGTGGTTGACCTTTCAAATCAATCACACTAAGTTTGAGGGGGGAATGTTAGAAGTATTATTATATATATACGCACACCTATTGTAATAAATATATACCCTCAGCTGATATAGTCAGGTTGTTAGATCTGATAGTAAGTTTGTTAGAGTCGGTTATATCAGCTGTAGTATATATACATGTACCGATTCATCTTAATTAACACGAGAGAAATTCTTCCTCCTTTCTATCTCTGCTTACTTTCTAATAATTTGAATTAAATTAAATTGATTAAATTGATTTATACTCCGTAGTTACTATTATTTGAGGGTAGTAAATTAAATTGATAAGATGTTTTGCCAAATCAAGAGGATTTTATTGGAGACTACCTAAACTCCTGAGGGAATGGAGGAACTTTAAATAGGGACAGAGAGAGTATTATGTTATATCCTTAACCCAAGCCAATGGTAATATAAAATGTTTGCCCATTTTAGGTTAACTGGATTAAACAAGTTCTTCCAAACTCCAAAGTTTGACATATTATAATTTTAATGTTAGATTCTTCATTTTCCTCTGGTTAAAGTTATGCTTCATTCACAAAAACACAGGTCAAGTGGTGTAACAAGCATACCGTCCAGAACTGCATTGGAGACACTGGTTTAACGTTTTTATCAAGCTCATTAAATAAATCTCGGGTTGCAACTGTCAGAAGATTAGATGAGCTGTCCAAATCAGTTCTCCTGTCCACATAGGGGTACCTAATAGGAAAAGGTAAACCAGCACAACATGTTAACATGAAATAAAATCAATTTAATATGTGCTTTTGATTCACTTCCAATAAATAAATAATGTAAGTTTATGAATGAAAAGAACTCACTGCATCAGAGCAGATTTCAGCTCTGGAACCGAATGAAGGCATTGAACTGTGGAGTTCATATAGCATGTATTTCCAAGATTAAATAAGCCAGCAGAATGACCCTGGCAATGATGAAACGTCTTTTAAGGGGTATTTCAGACTAATAGGGGTAAATTTCCCTGAAGCAAAACCATGCATCATGTTTTGAAACTGAGGGTGATAAACAAATCCAATTAGAGATGAGTAGGTAAAGGGGATCAAACCATCCTAGAAAGGTCCATTATCAAACTATATGTGATAGAAATTCCAAAATACAGACCACATTAATAACTTGCTCCTCTTCTGGCATATCTTCAACAAAGACAGTGCTTTTTTCAGGGGCCTTGACAATTTCATCAGCAGTACCCATCATCATTAACCTTTGTCCCTGGAAAAGAAAACAAAAGTCATGATATCTAATCTCTGAGAACTTCATTAATGGATAGGAGTGTATTACAATTAACCATATGAAATCACGTACCTCTTTGACTCCAACTTTGGACCAGTCAGCATCGTCCTAAATGGGAAATTAAAAAATAAAAATGAGAAGCAGTTTCTCAAGAATGCAACAGAATCCAGACCTGCTGGCCTAGAAAGAAGCACTACAGTCATCCAACTAAAAAAATGATATTCAGAGCATAAACCTTAATATTACCTTCAATAGACCACCCTTAACCATAATTTTTTGCCTCTCTGGTGGTACCCCTGTCAGGTCGAACAACTGGCATTTGAAGACATATGGAGGCTGGCTGGTATCTATTTCCACTGCAGGAAACACCTCCTTTTGCCATTTTACACTGACTGCAACATATTCCAATTACCAAGTTGAATGCTCAAAATGTAACTTCAAAAAAAATCGATTAGAGACGGAAAAAAAATAGTTTTCCTATCATACAGTAATACACCTCCTTCCAATAAAACCAATGCAGCTATCAAATATGAATGCTTAATGCTAAACCGGGCTAATTATAGTTCAAGGCAGTACATTCAGAACCCTAACAAGGCTCAACTATACCATGAAAGCAACCGACTCTGATCGACAGGTTTAGCTAAATAACCTTACATTTAGCTCCTACACTTGAGACTCAAGTGCAAGCAACACGAAATCATCGGGTATTTCGAAGAGGTAATAAAAACAGATTATTGGAATGCTTAATCCCGGGAATAAAATTGAGAATTAAGCTACTGGTCCAGACCTGTAGGCATCGTAATATGGAGCTTCGGCGTTGGCAGGATCGGGGCGGAAGTAGAAGAAGAGTGGAATGGCGTCTTCGGTTTGGTCGTGTTTGAACGTTGCTTGGGACGAGGGCAAATCTCAATCGAGATGAGACCGATATATTGTTGCAGATGATATCAAAATAATTACTGTACGTATTACTCTTTGTTTTATGCAAGTATACTCATCAAATCGGCTGCTACACCCATTAATTATTACTCCGTATTTTTTAAGCAAAACTCTCATTAAATACTGCAACTGAATTTGTCAAAAATGTAATTTATGTTTTTAGTAATAATGTAGAATTAATTATTAATCAGTTTCCTAATTGTATTGGACAACTTATTCATTATAAATATACTCTCAGGGTTACCAGTCTGGTTAAGCATGTTTATTATTCTCACATGTTATCAAGAATCTTGGTTTTATCCTTAAAAAAAATTAGTCTCAATGGCATTGTCCGCCGCTGCCGTTGGGCAGACCACCACCACTGCGCCGATAACGACGGCCGCGACGCACAGCTCGGCAGCGCTGGTTCAGACCACGTCAACGCCTCTCTTGACAGCAGCGCCCTTCTCTATCACCATGCCGACGACCCTCTCCACTTCGTATGCCCTGTTTTCTCTCACGTTTGGCTCGACGTCAGGTGATTTGCAGCCTTCGATTTCAGCGCCATTCCCGATTAGCAGCTCGACCTTGGATGCATCTGTTTGGGTTCCACCGGTGTTCGACTGGTCCTCTCCAGTTGCAGCCAGTTGTCCCACCGGCCGAAGCTCCGCAACACGGTCAGTCCTGACATCCTCCTCCTCCCGGATTTCGTTTGGTGGCCCCACGTTCTCTGGATTGCAAGGCTTAGCGCCGCCGCCTGCGGTCCAATCGATAGGCCGACCGGCAGCTGTCCACACCGGTTCTTTGGAGGCAATTGCACAAGCTATGGGTTTTTCGGCTCCCAATATTACAAAAATTGTTACCACAAAGCTTGATTCGATTGAATATTATCTGCCCTGGTGCACTCAATTTGAATCAATTTTTGTGTCTCACGGCGTCATGGGCATTCTAGATGGTACGATTACTGCTCCTCCTCAATATAATCTTGATACTCTTCGCAGAGAGGTTGTGAACAATGAGTACTATTATTGCTTAAAGTTAGATCAAACAGTTTGTTCTTGGCTATTTGCTACTTTAACCCGTGATATACTTGTTGAAGTTCATACTCTCCAAAATTCCGCTACCATCTGGGAACGATTGAAATATAGATTTATGGCTGCCAGTATGGCTCGTTCTATGGAATTAAAACGCATGTTAAATACTTCTAAAAAGAAAGAAAATCAAACCATGGAACAGTACATGCTTGAAATTCAGAAAATTGCAGATGCCCTTGCCACGATTAATTCCCCGGTCTCCATGAAAGATCTCCTTGAGCAAACACTTTTCGGTCTTGGTCCAGACTATGAGTCCATAATTACTACATTGACTTCTTTTCCTGAGGGACTTGCCTTTGATAAGTTGTGGACCCGACTCGTGGAACAAGAGCAACGACTTATATATCTTCGCTCTCAGGAGTCGTCCTCGCATGCTGCTTTTGTTGCTCAGCCCGTGGCTCCGGCAGCTCCTGGACATGAACCACAAGGTGGCAATCAATATAATCGGGACGTGGGCGACGTGGTCCACATGGCAGTGAAACCTGAGGCCGAGGAAGAGGCTACGGCCAGCAGCTCCAGCCGTTGTACGTTGGCCCCAGGTACGGACAGCAACCCGTCTACTATCAGCCACGACCGGGACAGCAGTCCTAGGGACGTCCAGGTTCAGTTTTATGTAATTCAGTTTTTTCATTGTTACATACGCATCCTTATTTTGATACTCGTACTGATCATGGCTATGCAGGCTCACCTTTAGTTGATGGATAGTTTGGTTTCATTCCCCCGCCAGTTTTTTGTCAAAATTGCTATTCACCAGGTCATTCTGATGTTTCCTGTATGTCTCGTTTTTCCCAGCCGTCTGCTCCTGCTCTTGCTGCATCCATGGGTGATACGAATGACGATGTCTGGTTCCCATACTCCGGTGCTTTCGCGCATATGACATCTCAGGAAGGTACATTTAATAAATATGTTTATTCTGGACCACTTACTATTATTGTTGCAAATGACACAAATTTACCCATTAAAAATATTGACGATATTTTCAGTAATTCCTTGTCAACTTAAGATCTGTTTATCATGTTCCTCAAATTAAATATAATTTATTATCCATCCAAAAGCTGTGTTCTGACAATAATTGCATGGTGATATTTGATAAAAAATCTGTTTTTCTAAAGGACAAAACCACGGGGGCAATTCTTCTTCGGGCTTCCAGTGGCGGAACCAGTCTCTACCCCATTCGCCTATATCTTTAACCAGCTTTGGTTTTAGTTTCTAGTGTGCCGCCTGGACCACTGTGGCATTGTCGCTTGGGACATTGTGACAGTAGAGTTTTAGATGGTCTTAAGAAGTTTGGTCAACTATGTAGTTTGTCTTCTCTTAATCATGATTGTTTGTCGTGTCATTTGGGTAAATCTTCGAGATTACCTTTTCAAGATGTTTTTCATAGTGCTAGCAAACCATTATTTTTAATACATTCAGATGTTTGGCAATCTCCAGTTCTATCTTCTTCTGACTTTAAATATTATGTCTCTTTTATTGATGACTTCTCTCGTTTCACTTGGATATATCCCATGCGTCGTAAAAATGAAGTATTTAATCATTTTAAATCTTTGAAGTGTCTGGTGAAAAAATTATTAGATCATAAAATTATAATTTTTCAAAGTGACGGAGGGGATGAGTTTGATGATTCAAGCATGCGGTCATTTTTTAATTCTAATGGAATTCTTTTTAGAAAATCTTGTCCTGACACTCCTTAACATAATGGTTTAGCTGAACGTAAACATCGTCATTTACTTGAGTTAGCGAGAACCATGCATTTACTTGAGTTAGCGAGAACCATGCTTATTGATGCTGGCCTGCCAGCCAGTTTTTGGGTTGAGGCTATTTTGACTACTATTTATATTATTAATCGCTTGCCTTCCACCAAATTCACTGGTTATTCTTCATATGAGAAATCATTTCACCAGACCCATGACTTCTCTTTTATGCGGTGTTTGGATGTGCTTGTTATCCTAATTTTACTGCCACTTCAACCAATAAACTTTCTCCTCGCTCGGTTTTGTGCGTTTTTCTGGGATATGCTTCTGACTATAAGGGATATCGTTGTCTTGATCCTAGGACTGGTAAAATTTACATTAGTCGTCATGTCCGGTTTCATGAAAATATTTTTCCTTATTCCCAATTACTAGCTTCCTCTTTACAGGCGTGTCCTCTGTCATTTTTCCGTTCCTCCACACCGTTGCGGCGTTGCCCTCTGCTACTGCACCATTACTGCCCCCGGAGAAATTTCAATCGGACACGTGTGCCTCACCACCACATGTGAACTCCCCGCCGGCAATGAACTCGTTCGACCAGCAGCCTGCTTCGCCGGAAACCTCCAGGACCGGCACTCGGTCTGGCAGCGTGACGCCAGCTGCTGCTGTCCCGGACAGTTTTGCTGAGACGGGCTCTTCATTCCATACTGATGATGAGGCTTGTGATATTCAGGTCTCCGATGCTCCATTGATTAAAAATATTCATCTCATGCAAACACGGTCTAAATCAGGAATTTTTAAACCCAAAACAATTTTTAATTTAAACACTGAGGTTTTGGTTCCTGATCCGACTTGCCTTTCTATGGCTAATAAAGATCCTAAATGGAGAGTGATAGAGTTGTATTTTTATTATGTATTATTTCTATTTTAACTAGTTTTATTTGTTGTTGTTTGGAAAATTACACACTTTTGGTGTAATTAGTTAGTTAATTTTCTTAGATAGATGTAATTTGTTTAGATTAGGATTATTCTGAGCTTAAAACAGGTCAAGATCATCTAAAGGATCAAGATTGGACCCCAAAAGATCAAGGAAAGTGCAAGAAGACAAGATAAAAAGAAGATTGAAAAAATATTTCATAAACCCGGTCGGGTATAGGCAATACCCGATCGAGTATTGAGTTGATTTTGAAGATTTGGCTCATACCCGACCGGGTGTGCCTTCACACCCGACCGGTATGTCTAGAAAAGTGATTTTCTTGGTTTTGCTCTTGAAGCTTGTTGATTATTAAAGTTGTGAGTTATTTTCTTAACTTCTCCGCTTTATTATTAATTCCTCCCTTAATTTCATTCTATATTAATGTTGGAATGTTGCGAAGTGACAATTAGTTAACGTTCCGACATTAATTATTACTAGAAACGATCAACGAACCGATGGTTAATCGTTGATGGTTTAATTTCACAAGTAAGTAACTTCGGTTTATTAATGCACGGTTGTTGTTAATAAACTTAAGAGGGATTAATTTTGTTGGTTAAACCGAAACCGTTGTGTTTAGGTTATCAATCTCAATTGATCTCATCAAGAAGTTAAAAAGATTAAATGCTACTATTAAATCGGTATACAACGTTGTTCTATATTTGATTAATAGTGAGGGTTGTTAATGAACGGTCGTTGTTAATAACTACCCTCGATGAATTGGAGATACTCCTCGATTGAGTATTCGAGAGGGGATAAGTTATAGATATAACAATGATCGACTAAAATATATCAACAAGTGGAAAGTAGCAAGGTCAAGTCCTTTTTATTCTTGAATTAAATCTCATATAAGTCATTCATCTTCGTGTTTTATTAAATTAAATCACTCAATCCCAAAAAAAACCCTTTATTTACTAGTTTTATTAAAAAGATAATTATTCCTTTCCTTGTGGATACGAACTCTACTTCACTATACTACGTATCAGTGTTAGTATCAATTTATTTTTACGCACTACGACGGAGTGCTCGTCAGAGAGCTGCAATGGCTGAGGAATTTAATGCACTCAAGCCAGGGTTGAGTTTTCAGAAACTTTTAGTCATGTTGTTAAACCCACCACTGTTCGCATTGTTCTGACCTTAGCTATTTCATATAATTGGCCTATTCGTCAGTCGGACGTTAAAAATGCTTTTCTTCATGGTCATCTCAAAGAAGAAGTTTATATGCATCAACCACCTGGGTTTATTCATCCCCAATTTCCTACTCATATTTGTCGCTTGCGCAAGGCCATTTATGGTCTCAAACAGGCTCCCCGAGCGTGGTTTTATCATTTCAGTAGTTTTCTTTTGACTCATGGATTTGTGTGTAGTCGTGCTGATAATTCTTTGTTTATTTTTCGCAGGCTACTCGAATCATTTATTTATTACTATAGTTGAATAACATTATTATTACTGGAAATTCCTCTAATCTTATTAGTAATTTTATTTCTCTTTTAGAGAAATATTTTGCTATGAAAGATTTAGGGGAAATTCATTTTTCTTGGGGGTTCAGGTTGTGCGAAATCCTTCTAGTTTATTTTTATCTCAGGCCAAATATGTGTCAGATCTTCTTACCCGCTTTCATCTTCACATTCTTAAGTCGGTTCGCAAGCCCTTACCTAGTAGAACTAAGTTGTCCTTCACTAATGGTGAGTTACTTGTTGATGCTTCGGAGTATCGTAGCATGGTAGGTGCATTGCAGTATTTTACTATGACTATACCTGATGTTCACATATGTTGGCTGTTAAGAGAATTTTCAGGAATCTACAGGGCACAATCACGCATGGCTTACATCACCAGCCTTCAACGTAACCACATTCTATTCTGGCAAATTCTGATGCTGATTGGGCTGGTTGTCCTGATAGTAGTCATTCTACATCTGGTTATGCTATTTTTCTTGGTCTCAATTTGATTTTCTGGCGGTCCAAGTAACAACCTGTTGTCTCCAGATCATCTACTGAAGCTGAATACAGAGCCATTGCATACACGGTTCAGGATACATTACACATTCGATCCATTTTGTTCGACCTCGGCTTCCCTATTTCTCGCTCTGTTCGTCTATTATGTGATAATGTATCTGCATCATATTTATCTACAAATGTCATCCAGCATGCTCACAACAAGCATATTGACATTGATCATCACTTTGTTCGGGAACGTGTGGCTCATGGTGATCTCCTAGTGCAGTATGTTCGTACAAAGTTTCAGCTGGCTGATATTTTTACCAATAGTTTGGCTTCTCAACAGTTTTTATTTTTACGAGACAATCTACACGCAGTTCCTCCTGCATAGATTGAGGGGGTGTAATAGTGTAGAATTAATTATTAGTCAGTTTCCTAATTGTATTAGACAACTTATTCATTATAAATATACTCTCAGGGCTACCAGTCTGGTTAAGTGTATTTATTATTTTCACAATAAGCAATATATTCTTGTATAAAAGTGGCATAATAATATACTACATGTTTTTTGTATAACAAATACTTCATCTTTCCCATGCATTAATCTTTGTCAACTTCCCCTTTTTATTGTCTCAAATACTTCACCACTTTCCCATTAAAGTACGGAGTAACTTATTTGTGGTTCTGCTTATTTAGTTCTTCATTGCACAAATTTCAACCACACAATTTTACTTTTCTCATTACTCACCCTTTTTTATTTTTTTTTATATTTTTTATTCACTTAATTCAGAGTTGACAATGTCCAATGAGACATACATAATGCAAAATATATGGAATACTTTTGTCTTCTTAAATTTAAAATTATCAAAGCATGAGAAAGGGTGGAAAAGTATGAAAAGAAATATAAAAAGTCGAAAAGTAAGAGTAATTGAGTACTTTCTAATGAAAAACACACAATAAAAGGAAAGTATAGCAAAAATTAAAAATAAATGTCAAACAGAAAAGTGTAAGTATGTGTGTAACAAACCAAAGATTACGGAGTGAATATAAAGCCAAGTAAAAAGTTTAGCCCTATAGTGCTTCAAAAATTGTAAATACTCGGACTTATAAAACAACTAGCGTTTTCTCGCGCAAGGCGCGAGAATGTTTGTCCAATATTAATGCAAAATTTGTAAAATCTGAACCATATAAAGTCACAAATTCAACAAAGTATTTGATTAAAAAGACTAAAAAATAACTACTCCATATAATGTACTAC